AGTTATGGGGGTTCCCCTTTGTGGGGTTGTTTTTTTAAAGTGGGTTGTGTTCGGGTTTGGGGTTGTGTTCTGATGGGGGTTTGGTTTTAGGGGTTGCGTTCTATGTGGGTTTGTTTTTGAGGGGGTTGCGTTCTGAGGTGGGTACGTCTCCTGTGGTTGCGTGCTGATGTGGGTTTGCTTTCTTAATGTGGGTTGTGTTCTGAGGTGGGTTTGTGTTCTAATGCGGTTGTGTTCTGAGGTGGGTTGCGTTCTGAATGGTTGCGGATGGGGTTCTTTTCTGAATATATGTTTTGTTTCCTGTTTGTGGGTTGCGTTCGATTTGGTTGTTCTGAGGTGAGTTAGTTGATGTTGGTTTCTTTTGAGGGTGGGTTCGTTCTGATGTGGGTTGTGTTCTGAGGGGGTTGCGTTGTGAATGTGGGTTACGTTCTGATGTGGGTTGCGTGCTGTGTGGGTTGCTTTCTTAGTGGGTTGTGTTCGAGGTGGTTTGTGTTCTAATGCGGTTGTGTTCTGAGGTGTGTTGTGTCTGAGGGGGGTTTGTTTCTGAGGTGGTTGGGTTTCTGAGTGGGTTGGTTTTGAGTGGTTATTTTCTCTGGGGTTGCGTGCTGATGTGGGTTGTGTTCAAATGTTGGTTTTCTGGGTGGGTGTTTGTTCTGGGGTGGGTTGCATTCTGATGTAGGTTTGTTCTGATGTGAGTTGCGTTTGATGTGGGTTGTGTTCTGAGGTGGGTTGCGTTCTGAGGGGGGTTTGTTCTGAGGGTTTGGTTTGGGGTGTTCTGATGTGGGTTGTGTTCGAGGTGGGGTTGCGTTCTGAATTGGGTTGGTTCTGATGTGGGTTGTGTTCTGATGTGGGTTTTGTTCTGAGGTGGGTTGTGTTCTGAGGTGGGTTTGTGTTCTGATGTGGGTTGTGTTCTGAGGTGGGTTGCGTTTGAGGTGGGTTGTGTTCTGAGGTGGGTTTGTTCTGATGTGGGTTGTTTTCTGAGGTGGGTTGCGTTCTGAGTTTGAGTTGTGTTCTGATGCGAGTTGCGTTCTAATGTGGGTTGTGTTCTGAGGTGGGTTGCGTTCTGAGGTGGGTTGCGTTCTGAGGTGGGTTGTGTTCTGATGTGGGTTGTGTTCTGAGGTGGGTTGCGTTCTGAGGTGGGTTGTGTTCTGATGTGGGTTGTGTTCTGAGGTGGGTTGTGCTCTGAGATGGGTTGTGTTCTGATGAGGGTTGTGTTTTGAGGTGAGTTGTGTTCTGATGTGGGTTGTGTTCTGATGTGGGTTGTGTTCTGAGGTGGGTTGTATTCTGATGGGGATTGTGTTCTGATGTGGGTTGCATTCTGATGTGGGTTGTGTTCTGATGTGGATCCTTTCCTGATGTGGGTTGTGTTCTGATGTGGGTTGCGTTCTGATGTGGGTTGTGTTGTGAGGTGGGTTGTGTTCTGATGTGGGTTGTGTTCTGATGTGGATTCCTTCCTGATGTGCGTTGTGTTCTGATGTGGGTTGTGTTCTGATGTGAGTTGTGTTCTGAGGTGGACTGTGTTCTGATGTGGGTTGTGTTCTGATGTGGGTTGTGTTCCGATGTGGGTTGTGTTCTGATGTAGGTTGTGTTCTGAGGTGGGTTTGTGTTCTGATGTGCGTTGTGTTCTGATGTGGGTTGTGTTCTGAGGTGGGTTGTGTTCTGATGTGCGTTTTGTTCTGATGTGGGTTGTGTTCTGATGTGGGTTGTGTTCTGAGGTGGACTGTGTTCTGATGTGCGTTTTGTTCTGATGTGGGTTGTGTTCTGATGTGGGTTGTGTTCTGAGGTGGGTTGTGTTCTGATGTGCGTTTTGTTCTGATGTGGGTTGTGTTCTGATGGGGGTTGTGTTCTGAGGTGGGTTGTGTTCTGTGTGCGTTTTTGTTTGATGTGGGTTCGTGTTCTGATGTGGGTTGTGTTCTGAGGTGGGTTGTGTTCTGATGTGCGTTTTGTTCTGATGTGGGTTGTGTTCCGATGTGGGTTGCGTGATGTGGGTTGCGTTGTGATATATGTTGAGTTCTGATGTGGGTTGCGTTCTGATGTTGGTTGTTCTGAGGTGGGTTATGTTGATGTGGGTTGCCTTCTGATGTGGGTTGTGTTTTGAAGTGGGTTGTGTTCTGGTGTGGGTTGTGTTCTGATGTGGGTTGTGTTCTTAGGTGGGTTGCGTTCTGATGTGGGTTGTGTTCTGAGGTGGGTTGCGTTGTGATGTGGGTTACGTTCTGATGTGGGTTGCGTGCTGATGTGGGTTGCTTTCTTATGTGGGTTGTGTTTCGAGGTGGTTTGTGTTCTAATGCGGGATGTGTTCTGAGGTGTGTTGTGTTCTGAGGTGGGTTGTGTTCTGAGGTGGGTTGCGTTCTGATGTGGGTTACGTTCTCATGTGGGTTGCGTGCTGATGTGGGTTGGGTTCTAATGTTGGTTGTTCTGAGGTGGGTTATGTTCTGGGGTGGGTTGCATTCTGATGTGGGTTGTGTTCCGATGTGAGTTGCGTTCTGATGTGGGTTGTGTTCTGAGGTGGGTTGCGTTCTGAGGTGGGTTGCGTTCTGAGGTGGGTTTGTGTTCTGATGTGGGTTGTGTTCTGATGTGGGTTGTGTTCTCAGGTGGGTTGTGTTCTGAGGTGGGTTGTGTTCTGATGTGGGTTGTGTTCTGAGGTGGGTTGCGTTCTGAGGTGGGTTGTGTTCTGAGGTGGGTTGTGTTCTGATGTGGGTTGTGTTCTGAGGTGGGTTTGCGTTCTGAGGTGAGTTGTGTTCTGATGTGAGTTGCGTTCTGATGTGGGTTGGTTCTGAGGTGGGTTGCGTTCTGGGTGGGTTGCGTTCTGAGGTGGGTTGTGTTCTGATGTGGGTTGTGTTCTGAGGTGGGTTGCGTTCTGAGGTGGGTTGCGTTCTGAGGTGGGTTGCGTTCTGATGTGAGTTGCGTTCTGAGGTGGGTTGTGTTCTGAGGTAGGTTGCGTTCTGAGGTGGGTTGCGGTCTGAGGTGGGTTGTGTTCTGATATGGGTAGTGTTCTGAGGTGGGTTGCGTTCTGAGGTGGGTTGTGTTCTGATCTGGGGTTGTGTTCTGAGGTGGGTTTGTGCTCTGAGGTGGGTTGTGTTTGATGAGGGTTGTGTTTTGATGTGGGTTGTGTTCTGATGTGGGTTGTGTTCTGAGGTGGGTTGTATTCTGATCTGGATTGTGTTCTGATGTGGGTTGCGTTCTGATGTGGGTTTGTGTTCTGATGTGGATTCTTTCCTGATGTGGGTGTGTTCTGATGGTGGGTTGCGTTCTGATGTGAGTTGTTGTTGTGAGGTGGGTTGTGTTCTGATGTGGGTTGTGTTCTGATGTGGATTCCTTCCTGATGTGCGTTGTGTTCTGATGTGGGTTGTGTTCTGATGTGGGTTGTGTTCTGAGGTGGACTGTGTTCTGATGTGGGTTGTGTTCTGATGTGGGTTTGTGTTCGAGTGGGTTGTGTTTGATGTGGGTTGTGTTCTGAGGTGGGTTGTGTTCTGATGTGCGTTGTGTTCTGATGTGGGTTGTGTTCTGAGGTGGGTTGTGTTCTGAGGTGGACTGTGTTCTGATGTGGGTTGTGTTCTGATGTGGGTTGTGTTCGATGTGGGTTGTGTTCTGATGTGGGTTGTGTTCTGAGGTGGGTTGTGTTTTGATGTGCGTTGTGTTCTGATGTGGGTTGTGTTCTGATGTGGGTTGCGTTCTGATGTGGGTTGTGTTTCTGAGGTGGACTGTGTTCTGATGTGGGTTGTGTTCCGATGTGGGTTGTGTTCTGATGTGGGTTGTGTTCTGAGGTGGGTTGTGTTCTGATGTGGGTTGTGTTCTAATGTGGGTTGTGTTCTGATGAGGGTTGTGTTTTGAGGTGAGTTGTGTTCTGATGTGGGTTGTGTTCCGATGTGGGTTGTGTTCTGATGAGGGTTGTGTTTTGAGGTGAGTTGTGTTCTGATGTGGGTTGTGTCCTGAGTTGTCATAAGTAACCAGCATTTGGTGGAATTCTCCCTGACCCGAGAAAGACCAGTGTAGCTGATAGCTAGCAGGCAACCCAAGTAATGAACTAGCTAATACCTCCCACGTGCAACAGCACCGCCTCTTTTACTGCTATACAGGTTGTCAGTCTGATTAAATTAGAGTCATTCTTCGGCTGTCAATTAAGGAAAAGCGATTACCCATAGAAATGGATGAAACTGTATATGTAAATCAAGAAAGACAAAAGAAAAATTCAAAATTCCGAACACTCTAAGACCACTTTAGCAAGACAGAAATTACGATAGGTATAGACAGAGGAATTGCTAAGATATTTAGTGTCCTTTTCATGTGATTTCTTTTTTTAAAATGGTTGTATATACAAAGACCAATGCATGAGGAGGGTATTCAGTTCTTCATGGTATGAAAAAAAGTAAGAGTATTATCTTTACTGTACACTTGTATTAGAAATGATGACGTGCCCACATGCATCTCAGACTTTTGAAAATCAAATAAAATCCTCAGCACCTTTTTTTTACCATTGGGTCAAGTTAAAATAACATCAATAATGATGTTATTTTAATTTGAAAGAATAGCAACAGAGATGGTGAAGAATTTCCAGGTTGGTGACTCCTGGAGCAGAACGGTCTCTACCCCTACCTCGCTAACATTCACATATCTGATAAACAGCTACACAATATTGGGGCAAGAAGTACAATTTTTTTTTCAGTTAATTAATGGACTAATCTCAGTCCTCCGTATAGTGAACTGAACCTTGGAACTAATGAGCTCAGTCAGTCGCACAGTTATCTAGGGATAGCTAGAGCAGAAACAGCGGTATTAACCAGTCATTCCATGAGAAATCATCAGTTATGATTCATAGGCGTTTCATAGGTGTAGCCTGACCATAGTACCTGGGGATCTATCTTCCTCCGACTATCAATTCAACCTAACCTAACCTAATCTAGCCTAACCTAACTTAACCTAACCTAACCTAACATAACTTAACCTAACCGGACACAGGCAGTGCTGTGACTCGACACAGGAACTACTGTGACTCGACACAAGAACTACTGCGACTCGACACAGGAACCTCCGTAACATTCTTCTAAAGCTCTAGACCCTGAATACATCCCATTAACTTCACTCTCGCAGTTGACTACTTAAAAAAGTAAATAAAAAACTCATGTGTTTATGCAATGTTTATTCTCATATAGTTTTTCAAGGTGTTAAGCAACAGTACAGGAAAACACATTAGAATGAAAGTCCAATTTTTCAAGCATTTGGAAAACCAGTTTATAATTTTATATGTGGCATTCATGCATTGAGTTTATTATGCTTACGTTGGCATTATACATATATATATATATATATATTATATATATATATATATATATATATATATATATATATATTATATATATATATATATATATATATATATATATATATATATATATATATACAAAATAACCACGGGGGGAGTCGAATGATAGCTCTAGGCCTTTCGTGTTGTAATCAACACTTCGTCAGGAGCCTCCAAAATTGCAGAAAAGAGGAGGGTGTCAAGTAAATAACGTTCCCAGAGGACCGTCTTTACTGGAGTCACTCCAATAAAGACGGTCCTCTGGGAACGTTATTTGCTGGAAACCCTCCTCTTTACTGCAATTTTGCAAGCTCCTGATGTGTTGATTGCAACACGAAAGGCCTAGAGCTTTCATTGTACTCCCCCTGTGGTTGTTTTGCATCCTGTATCGCTTGGTTTGCGATATTTGCTTAATAAATAAATAAATAAATAAATATATTATATATATATATATATATATATATATATATATATATATATATATATATATATATATATATATATATATATATATATATAATATACACACACACACACACACACATATATATATATATATATATATATATATATATATATATATATATATATATATATATATATATATATATATATATATATATTATATATATATATATGTAAGATTCTATTGCACACCTCAAAGCAGCTCGTTTATCTGCTCCTGATAAATTAACAGATCTTCTCTGGAAGGTAAGTGGAAGGTCCAACATCTTGAAAGCTCGAGGTACTGTTTGGGCATGGCACGGTGTGCTTCTTTTTGACAACGCTCTTGTAGCCGTACCCGCAAGAGACGGTCAATCACCAGCCTCATCAATCATCAGAGCATTATGCAACTTTCCTAGAGTAGATAACTTGATCCACCTCCCTCATCAACACAAAAGTCGCCGACATAGGCTCGAGGAAAGTGCCACACAGTAAAGGCAACCAGAATAATCACAAACAAGGACACAGTCGCCCCGAGAGATGCTGCCACAGCTAAGAGACAAGTATCCACACAGGGCAACCAGTGTCACCAACAACTATTCTTCTGATGGCTTTATCCCAGGACCATTAATTCTGAAAGAGTCAAATGTAGATATTCATAAAGGGAGTGTGTCATTCCCAACAGGAATTATACAGGGTTAAAAGGGAAATACGACCACAATATATCAAAGATATGATTGATCTAGTGCTTGACATAACAAAAGAGATTCTTCACAACGGACGCCAACAACTGTCTTGCTAAGTTGATATCTGAAGAGATTAAATCGTTTTCTTTTGGAGTCTCGTTATGTGCACTAAAATAAAGGAAGGATGAGGTACTCAGGCCCATCATCCTCAGCTGTCTCATTGCCACAGGGGCAGTCAGCAGCTACCAGCTTGCTTCAGCCAAATCAACTTGCCTTCGAGATCTCTTAAGACAGTGAGGCGGCGACTTATGCAGCACGGCAATAGTTAAACTAGGCTTCCAGAATGCCGTTAACCTAGTGAAAAGAGATGTCGTCTTGGGAGCCGCTACACAGCATTTCTTGAATCTCTTCCCCTTTGTTTCATCTAGTTATAGCAAAGCTTCGGTTTTGTCGTTCGCGAGCAAGATATCATCTCGCCAGAAGGCGTCGAGCAGGAAAACCCACTCATACCATTTCTTTTCTGTATAGCGGTAAGAGAATTAACAACCAGTCTGAAGTCAATGAAAGAAGCTAGGGACTCTTTCTCAATCCCCAAATGTGAAATCATCTCGACCAACAAGCAAATAATTCCTGCTGTTAGAGCCATCCTACCACAAGCCTCAGCTACGACCTTTGCTAAGAGCAACTGAATGACTTGAAAGAATAAGTGATTTGGATGCCAACGATGCCCTGAATCTTCTCACAAGGCGTCTAACCATACCCAGGCTAACCTGTTTCTCAAGGTGTGCACTCCTTTGATTGCGAAAAATCATTTAAGATCAATTATCAAGAACGCACTAAATCTATCTCTGGAGGTTACCTATGGGATCAAGGAACATCTCCAGTGAGACTTGGGGAAATGGGAGTTCGCAAGACAGCACAGATAACATTACCTGAAAGTTGCTGTTAGGAATTAAAGACCCGAAATTCATTGAAGCAGCAGGACAGTTGGATTTTAATACAGATTCTTCAATCAGACCAGCTCTAAATAGTCCCATTAGAACATTCCCACTGTGGAGAAAATCGTCCACACATTGCTTAACATTGCCTATAGAAAGGATAAAGCTTGCCTCCTAGCGGTTAGTGCACAACATACTGGTTATTTCTTCTTTCCTATACTTAATTCCTCGACCCTCAGGCCTTGCCATCCCCTTTTTCTCTGAGCACAGGTGTATCTGTGGCAGTGCATCGGCTGACCAACTTGGGCTCCATGGGCTCATGTGCCATAAGTCAGAAAGATAGCATGCAAGAGGTCAATGATATTAAACGAAATCTCGCAACAGCCCGATGACAATCAGATCGGGAACTTAAGGTACTGGGGGGGGGGGAGGGGCGAAAACAGCAAGAAGTGCCCAAATAAAGTCACCGTGTTACCCTTGAAAGACAGTAAGTAGATATAATGGCCGACGCCTACCTACTATACTTAATAGCGTTAGCAGATACTCGATGTTTTGGTCCAGAGGGGTAATGCATGCAGCATTTTACATAGCAATGTGTACAATACATTAAGCAATGTATTGCACACATATAGCTGTTCAAACTCAGAACCTACATCCTGTATGATGCTTACCTTGCTTTAGGTAATCAAATCAGCATAACTAAAGAACAAACTTAGTAGCATTTAGGTTGCATGCTGGGTTAATTAACGTGAAAGGTGATGTAGTAGGCTTAGAAGTGGCTTAATTTGCCTGATAAGCGGCTTAACAGGTTTACGAGGTGGTTAAACCTGCCTAGAAAATGGCTTATCAGCCCCAAGAGTGGATTACAAAAAGGCCTGGAAAGCAGTTTATTAGGCCTATGAGGTGGCTTAGTAGGGAGCACCAATATGTGCGGACTTTGCGATGAGTTTCAGAAGGCTTTGCTTGTATGATTAAATAAAAGTTTACTGAGCCGCAACGGTTAGCATTAGTTGCGGACCTCTTGAATCTTCATCCACACAGTAATACACACGGGGGACGTGACTGAAGCGCTGTTTGGAGTTCTGTTACACTGGAGGAGTAACAGAATGCAAATATTTTCGAGGATAGATGTCGCATTGCGATGAGTAAGGTAAGGGTAAAAACAAATTAAGGTGAGTGGCCGAAAGAACCGTTTTTACACAATTTTAGTCATTCGAGGACAGCAGAAGGCACTTTTGAAAAGTTACATGTGCGAGGAGGCTGCAAAGGCAATATTTTTGGGTTTGCTCTGAGAGTGCAGTGTTGGAAACAAGATAAAAATGGTTTTTTGACTGTAGAAGGATGAGTAAAAAGTAAAACAAAATCTAATCTCTTGCTAACCTATTTTCAGGTACTTAACGGCTGGCAGGAGACAATTATTTTCAAAAGTCCTCTCCTGACTGTGACCACACTTAACTAGACCAACTAGAAAAGACTAAGTTTGCACCTAGAAAAATACCGGAAGGGGCCAAAAAAAAAAAAAAGCTATTCTGAGTTACAGTCAGTGAACTCAGCATACATCATGTAGAATTGATCCTATGAAGGATATGAGAGGGGTTTATCAATGGGTTCAAGGTAGGCTGTATATAAGCAATGTTTTCAGAGCAAGTGTACTTGCAAAACTCTTGATCTGTTGCTTTATGAATAAAGAGCGCTGGGTACAGAATTACGAAAACTAGTCTTATGCTTACAGGCTTTAAGTTGCTTAAATATCTGCAGGAAATAATTTTTAATAATTGGAAATTGGGTTTTAAGGTTGGGGAAATATAAGAAAGGTTTGAAAGGAGAAAAATTTATCGGCATAAATGAGTTCCCGGGGGGAAGTTTGAAACAATCAAATTTACATTTTAAATTTCTTTACTGAGGAAATTTTTTTCCTATTATTTACAAAAAATTTTTTTAAACCTGGCCTTTAATTGGGGGATAACACCAGAAAGGAAAAAGGTTAAAACCATTTTTTCCCGGGTTAAAACCTTAAACATTGGTAAAAAGCATTTTTCTCCTTTCATTTCCAATTATTTCCCAAATTTTTTTTTCCCCCCGGGGGCCCTTTCCCCCAACCGGGGTAGGTTTTCAAAAAAGGTTTTTCCAACCAACACCCAACCACACTTATATTAAATTATTTTTAAATAATTATAAATTATAAACAATATTAAATTTTTTTCAATTTTTTTTCCCTAAAAAAAAAAAAAAAATTATTTTAAATTTTATATATATATAATATATATTTTTATAAAATATATTTTTTATAATTTAAATAATTATTTAAAATTATTAAAATAAAGAAAATTATTAATTTTATTTAAAGTTATTTAAATATTAAAATAATTAAAAAATTTAATATTTTATTTTTTCAGAAATTTTCCCAAATTCTTTTTTTGAAATTTTTAAAAGAAAAAATTAGTTTTTTTGGGTTTAAAAAAAAAGTAAACAGGAAAAAGAAAAAAATTTGGGTTAAAGGAATTTAAATTTTTTGATTTTAATTTTTCCCTTGTTTTTTTTTTTTTTTAAAAATTTTTAATTTTATTTTTAAAAAAATTTTTAAACAGAAAAAAGGGAAATTGGGTTAAAATTGGGTTTTAAAGGTGTTTTTGGGTTTTGGGGAAATTTGGGGGTTGGTTTCTTTAATTTTTAGGGGATTTTAACGGGGTTTATTTTAAACTTAGGGTTTTACAAATTTATGGGTAGG